AGAAAAAATACCTATACCTTAGTGATGGCCCATTATAGAAAGCTAAAGCAGCATAGGATATAAAAATACATTTAGTTTTCAATCTGACTTTGAAAGGAGCACAGGGAAATGGAAGATTTTCCCCTTCTATGCACATTTTCACAACATGAAAACAATTTTATGCACATTGCTGGATGTGACCAACTTGTGCTTCCCAGGGTCAGAATGACTTGTTCTCAGGTATGTGCTTCAGGAAGGTCATGCCTTGGTAGTCAGTGGGTCACCAGGTCTGTAGAGGAGCCATGGTTGGTCAAGAGACAGAGGAGGCAAGGATCTGCCTGGCATCAAGTTCTCTGAGTCCCCATCACTGAGCTCCTGCCCACTGTCCCATACAGAGTCATCACGGCTGGATCTCTGAAGCATTACCAACTTAAGGAAGACCCTTAGGATCCAAGCACTGTAGAGGAGGTTTCTGTTGCTTGATTGCTGGGTCCTCCTCAGTGGCCTGAGGGAGGATCCTCTCCTGCCACCTCCATAGCTGTCACCCCACTGAACCAATCCCATGGGGGCTCCAGCAGCAAACAAGGAAAGGGTTCATTCTCCTTGTGGGCCCTGCCAGACACTGAGTCTTTGATTAGTGAAGCCATAGGTAGTAAGGTGGCTGAACTGCTAGAGTTCTTGGCTCTTAAGAATCCAATGAAGTGGCTGACCACCAAGGCGGAACTATTGTCTGTAGTCACGAAAAAGTAAGAGGGCACTTTCCTATGATCTTCAGGGAAATCTCCCAGTGCATGCAGCCGGTCTTTGGCATTGCTGTGAAGGAAGTGGATGCTCCCTACCACTCTTATTCCTTGTCCCCACCCTGGGCCTCATCTTTAATGGGATGGTGGATGATGACCAGAGCATGCTTAAGACCAGCCTCCTCATAACTGACCTGGGTATCATCTTCATTTAAGGCAAACATGCCAGTGAAGAAATCACCTGGAAAGCACGGAGTGGGGCTAGGGGTATCCTGGAGGGAGCACTTCATTTATGGGGAGCCCAGCAAATTAATCATTGAGGATTTGGTGTAGGAACAGTAGCTAGAGTATCGGCAGGTATGCAGTAGTGATCCTCCTCCAGTGCCAGTGGGGTCCAAGTGCCCACATTGAAACCAGCAAGAAGAAAGTCCTGGAAATTTTGGTCAAGGTCAAAGATACCACCCTCAATACTTTTCCTATCTATCACGGAGGGTTTAGCAGATGAAGAAGAGAACCCAACTCCCAGTGCCAGTGGAGGGTGTGATGCCTAGGGCAAGGACCAGGGCCTGGGCACATTCCAGGGCCACACCCAGAACTTTCTCCTATTTCATATAATTTTTGAGGCAGATTCTTCACTCTGGGTTGGCAAAGAGCATTCACTTTTCTAAATAGTGCACATACAGAACAAGGATTGGGTAAATTCAGTAGATAACACATTTGCGTTTCTGTTCTGTACGGGTGACTTGAAGATTTTTTTGTTTTGATATTTTTTCATGTTCTTCCTTTTAATAAGATATTTAATTAACTTCAAGTTTAATTTTTATTGAGACAGGGTCTTACTATGTAGGTCAGACTGGCCTTAAACTCACTAAGTAGCCCAGGGTGGCCTCAATCTCATGGAAATCCTTCTACCTCAGCCTCCAGAAGGCTGGGATTGCAGGAGTGCACCACCATGCGCAGCCCAAATTGCAAATCTTTAGTGGCACTGGTCACAAACATACTGCTGCTTATACATTATAGGAGTTTCACACAACAAACTGTAAAATCTTCCATTCTGTTTTGTGATCCAGAACAAGGTAATATCACTGGTATAAAAGCTTTCTTGTAAATGTGAAAAAAAATTTTTACACACTCAAGAATATTGTTCTAGAATATTTTAAAATAACTTTACATTATAAAAACCTCTTTATTTTTAAAAAACTTTGTTTTTTTGTTCTTGTTGAAAATCTGAAATACAGAGCATAGGGAAGAAAAGCTACCTATACCCCTGTAATTCAGAGAACCACAGCTTTTATGTCTCCTTCCCCGTGAGCATGAATCTACCTGCCATGCATTGGGTGTGTGTTCACACTGGTGGCTCAAAGCACTCAGGTGCGCAACAATGCCATGCTTAGCCTGCGACATAGCTGCAGCTCCTGGTGATTCTGTACCGGACTGGTCAGCAGCTTGTCCTCAAGGGCAATTGGGTGGGACTATAAACAAATGTGAAAGTTGATTATAGTCCACAGACACTGAAGCCCAGAGAAGATGTGCTTTGCACGTGAGTTAAGAGGTCAGGGTGAACGCTGGTGGAGTTCAGCCATGGTTAAACACAGAGAACAGTTTCCTGGCTCCTGCCTTAGCTGCACTCCAAGGCCCAGGGCTGCATGCCCTGCCCCAGGCTCACAACGGCTTCTCTCTCTCCTTCCTCTTTCCCTCCCTTCTGGCCAGGAGGGGCAGAGAACACTGAAGGGGAAGAAGAACAACTGGAAGTCAGGAAAAGAAGGAACTGTTCAGGTTACTTCCCAGACTGGGGAGGGGTTAACACAGAAGCTGGATAGAAGCAAGAGGGGTGAATGACCCCCAAGAGCGGTGTGATTGTGAGGACATACGCCTCTGTTTCTACCGCACTTTGTCTTTTCCTGGGTTTCAGACAGTACATCATCACCACCACCGCAGTCAATTTTAAAGCATTTTCATCACCCAGAAGAAGCCCCAGATCCCTGAACAGTCACGGTGAGTCTCTATCCTCTGGCCCAGCAGCCACTAACCTAGGCTCTGCCTCTCAGGGTTCACTGGTTCTGGACTTCCATACAAATGGAATCCCATACAAATGTAATGTAATATGCTTCCATACAAATGTAAAGTAATGTGCAGCTCTGTGTCCGGCTTTCTTCACTCAGCACTCTGTTTTCAAGGTCCATCCACACTACTGAGAGCATCACAGGCCACACTATTCTCCCCTTCCAGTTGGGGGGCGTTTTGTTGTCCACACTTTCGACTATTGTGGATTGACCAGTGCTACTGTGAACATTCCTGTACACTGTTCATGTAGAAACGTATTTCATTTCTCCTAGTTATTTATGAGAGAGATAGCTGGGCTATGCGGTAATCTGTGCTTAACCTTTTGAGGAATTGCAAGAGAAGTTTGTTTTTTGGCCATTCAGATCATCCTGAGTTAGAAAATGTCTAATGTAATGTGTTTCTATGAGACAACTTTTAAGTCATTATTTCATTAAAAGTTGGGTATAGCAAGTCTAAGCTTGCTATATTTCTTACACTTTTTCATCAACAAAGATTCTGTAAAATAATATTTCCATGAATACCTTGGAATATTTGGTTATAATAAACAGTTGTAGGAACATTATTGTTCAATAAAAAAGGTTAATTCTAGACAGCATGGCTTAAATTATGTCGCTATTGGTAACACGACTAAAAACTCAAGTCCCTAAAATAAACTAGAATGTTCCTTAAGTACTATTTATGTACATAAGAATTACTGGAACAACTTGTTTAAAAAGCCAAATGCAAAGCTCTGCTCCTAAGAGACTATGACTCACTAGTCTGTGTTTACAAGGACCTCCCCAAATACACACAGGTAACGGATGTGGCTCCATGCTGGCCAGAGTGGTTGGTATTTGCATTTTCTCACCACTGGTTGTGCTGATGACATCAAAAAGACTTCGCTCTTCTATGGTAATAACCATCCATCCTTTAATCACCAGGTCTCACCTTCTAACTCCTTCTGGGACCACTTTACTTGGGAGGATTCTTTCCTCCTTTGTACACCTAAAATTTTTACACTGTGCATATTTGATCTATGCATTTATTGTCTTATATTATTAGTTATATGTGGTTCTAAATATATATCTTATTTCCCCAGGTGGCCAGCAAGTGATGTGAAGGCAGAGAATGCCATATTCCTTGTATGGCTCTCCTTGTTGCTGCTGAGGGCACTGTACTGTAAGACCTGAAAGTTTAAATGCTGCCTTCAGTACATCTTTAGCCTTACAGGAGCCCCAAAGGCTTAACCACAAGCACTTCTGGTCTTGCCAAGGGGGCCTCATCCAGGGGGCAGTGCCCACCCCACCGGCCCCTCCCAAGCTGGGTCAGCTGAACCCTGTGAGGATTGCCGCCTGTTAGGCTTCTGTTCCCTGGCAGCCCAAGAACCATTCACACATGCCAGCTACATCTTCTGCAGGAATCAGGGGCACCTCACCCCTTTGTTCCTACAAAGCTGCCTCCCACAAGCCTTGCTCTGACGGGCAACCCATTGTGACCCACGGTGCTCTCTTTGGGGGCAGGGGCAGCACATGAAGCAAATAAACTACTATGGTCTCATCTATTCAGTGCAGGTGTGTGCACTTGGCCACCTTGTTCTATGCAGGTGGGATTCCCTCCCTGCCCAAGAGAGTGGACAGGGCTGATAAGAGCAGAGTAGGTGTTGGGGAGTATGAGACCCCCATGGGCCACATGGCTGCGCACTTGGATGGTGGCTTTGGGCAATGTCTTCATTTTGACCCTCTGTTTACTGTTTACACCTCATTTGGTGCATGGGGTGCTAGGAGACTGGAGCCCAGTTGCTGAACTGAATTTCTAACTCCCAGTCATGGGCACAACAAAGGAAAGTGCCACAATTATGAGTCACATCCTCTGTGAAACTGAGCAATCCAGTTGAGCCAATAGAATCAGGCTGTCTCGCCACACAGTCATAATAAGCTGCCTCCCCCTTGCTGCTCTTTTCCCCACATGGCTCTCGACAGCAGAACATATGCAGGAGACTGGGATTTTGCAATATGGATCTTTTCTGAAAACTGCGCAGATTGTGCAGGAATATTTTAAATATCCAGGGAAATGTTTACACTGTTTATTATCAATCAGAGAGTAATGTCACTGGTGTTCTCCTTTGGAGATAGCTTCAGTAATCATGAACGAAGAGAAGAATCAATGATCCTTCAAATAACAGGCAGAAACTGCAGCGACATGTTTCAAAAGCAGCCAGCCCCTGCGCGAGGCCCTTACCTTTCAAGGTGGCTTTCTTAAGGACCTTCATGGCATAGAGCTGTCCAGCATCAGACCCTGTGACCTTCCTCACCAGAAACACCTGGGAAGTAGAAAACATTTCAAGCTGATGAGACTTCAAACTCATTGTTCCTACTGACTGACAAGGGGACACACAGAGGTTTAGAAAAATTCCAGTAGTGTAAATGCCATAGGAAACATGAAACTCTCTTCAGCAAGGAGGGTTCCAAGAAAAGCTCCTTTCTGTAGCTCCTTGGTGAATATGCTCACATTTGCAGGAAGAACTGACTGTTTTTGATACCATCAACTTTCTCTTTGATGCCAGCAGTATCACCCCTGCCCTTCTTGAATCTTTAGAAAAACAAACTATTTAGAAGTTTTAAAGGAGATAATTTGTTTGTTTTAAATAGCCTTCTGTAAATCCTGTATCCAGGAAGACAGCTTAGTTTAGTAGACCTCACAGAATAGGCTCAAATGTGAAGATACACTAGTTTCTCCTAATTTGAACTTTCTCTAGCCAAATTTTGGCTAGGGGTAGCTTAAATTTACAGATAGACTTAGTTTCTGAGAGACTCTTAAAATATTCATGTGGGTATTTGATGCTACCTTCTAGAAACATTTTTTAAAATCTGTAAAACAAACAAACAAACAAATTAATTAAGCCAAGCTGAGTTTAAAGTTATCTTATTAATTTCTGGAAAAAATCCGGAAAGAAAAAAATATCCTGAGTATCCTTTATAGGAAAAAAAACCTTTTTTCATGCATATGAAGAAAATATTGACTTTCCTAAAAGTATTTCCCAATAGAAGCAAAACTCTGCTCCCCTGACAGGGATCTGGTGAAGTACTAGGTGGAAGTGGCTGCCTGTGGGGTGTGATTTGGAGGGTGACATTTTTCCTTCCCCGAATGTCTCCTTTATCAAGCCTCAGAAGCCAGAAGACCAGCCTCCCTAGACCCATACACCTGTGCCATGGGGTATTCTAGCTCCATGCGGACTGTGAGAGTCCCCAACCGGTCACATAGGCAGAGCTTTTGTGAGCCCTGCACTTGGAGGGTGGCAGCTGTCTGTCACAGGCAGACATGTGTGTTATGTAAGCCCAGCTCTGCCATAGATGGGGGAAGGAAGGAGGGAAAGAGAGACTGAGAGACAGAGAGAGAGACACACACACACAGAGGCAGAGAGTCAGAGTGAATTTACAGGGTACAGGGTAATACCAAGACATGCTGGAGCACGGAGTGAGAAGGCACATGGCCCAGCGCAGGAACATGCATTCATGGAACCTGAACGTCAATTCCACATCTACACCAGGTGCCACAGAAGTAATTCAGCTGCCTCTTGACCCTGGTGCTGCCTTTGTCTGTCCCTGAAATGCCAAGAAGGGACAGCAGACAAACAGAACTCTCACTCTCTTTCTCTCTCTCTTTCTTACTCACTCTCCATCCAAGGTATTGCTAAGTTGCCCAGCTGAGGCTGGAACTTGTGATTCTCCTGTTTCAGCCTCTCACAGGGCTGGGATTTATAGTGCTGTGCCACCATGCCTGGCTTCTTTAGGGATTTCGAACATGCTGTCTCTGAGGATTAATTTCGGAGATGTGTGAAGTGTCTGCATGTTCATCTGTGCACATCTCTACAGCTGGATAAATAGGCATGAGGTGCAGATGTGCAGGACAGAGCGCTTACCCTCATGTACTGACTGAACATAAGATATGAGGCACTGAGCCCTTCAGGGAGACCCCGGGTCTCTGCTGCCCACCTGCCCCATCCTGCTGTAGCCCAGGAAATGACTGTGGATAGAAGGACTCAGCTGTCTTGGGGAACATCCTACCAGGCCAAGATGCTCCTTTTGTGCATGGGGATGAACTTCTTGACAGATGCGACAGCAGTGGACAGAAGGCAATTTGGCAGAAAGGAGAAATATTAGCGCTTAACTCCTGAATGCTCCTGTCCTGTGACTCATGGCAAAGCTGAGGGCTACGCAGTTTCAGTTTCCATCTGACGCTGTAATTCGTTCATGCTTCCAGCCGTGCATGGAGCCTCATGTATCCACTGTGACTTGGTTATTAGTGTTGCTGTGGTGCCTCCGGCCCTCACCCCTATGGTACTGGGTCACTGGGCAGCAGAAGGCAAGGCAAGGGTCTGGGTGGAAGTGGAGACCGAGTGAGGGCGTCCTGGGTTCCCAGGGGCAGTGTGGGCTGATGGTAGCCACTGAACGCCCAGCCCCCTACCTGGGAGGGGTGGTCCTGGGGGTTGAGCCTAAAGGGGCTGGGACACGTTTGGCTGTACCTCCTTGTTGCAGTGGCTGCATGCGTGGCACAGCCTGAGTCACTGGGTCACGGCTGTGGGACAGGTGTCCTCAACTGCTGCCCTCAACTGCTGCCTGAACCCAAGGTGGACTCTAGCTGGTAGACAGAAGAATCCCCCAACTCTGCTACAGTGAGGTTGACATGAGCCTCAAGAAGAGGTGTCTTTGTAGCCAGAAGTCAGACAACAACAGCAAAAGCCCTCTTTTGAGATGGGAAGGAGATGGGCCAGGGAGTTCAGTGGCACTGCACCTGCCCGGCAAGCACAAGGTTCATGGGTTCGATTCCTGGTACCAGGAAAAAAAAAAAAAAGATGGCAAGGAGAAAAAGCACAGTTCACAGAGGATATAGGCTTGCTTGATCCAGCGTTTGAAATGTCTGCAGTTGATCTGGCCCACCTCCTCTTCGTCCAGCCCCTGACAAGATAAAGTGTTATGGCTTGAATGATGGAGTCCCAATCCCAGTGTGGCGGTGTGCGAGGTGGAGCCAGGTGTTAGGTCATGAGGATACCTGCTGCACACATGGATGGTGGCTGCTGTTTCAGGAGTGGGTCAGAAGCTCTTTGGTGGCTTTGTTCTAAATGTACCTAGCTCGGCCGGGTGTGGTGGTGCACGCCTGTAATCCCAGCACTTGGGAGGCTGAGGCAGGACGATCATTGTGAGTTCAAGACCAGCCTGGCCTACAAAGTGAGCTCAGGGCCAGCCTGAACTGCATAGTGAGACCCTGTCTCAAAAAGACAAAGAAAAAGAAATGTAGCTAGCTCTTTAGTACCCATTCTTGTCCTCTGCTATGAGATGCCCTCTATCATGTAGGATGCAACCATTGCCAGATGCCAGAAGACTCTGCTGCCATTTCCTTAGACTTCCTAGCCTCCAGAGCCATGAGCCAAATAAACTTCTGTTCTTTATAAACTACCCTGTTTTTACTCTGCATAAATTCAGTTACAGCAACACAAAGCAGACTAAGAAGAAGATATGGCCGTATGAATTCAAAGAGCAGGGAAAACCCATTCCTCTGAGGTTTAAACCGAAAACTACATCTACATGGGCAGTGGGCAGCCACCAGCTACACTTTAGTTAAACAATGTCAGATTTTGCATAGATATTTACATAACCCCCTTTCCCTATTGTACTCAGGCTTTGCAGACAGGGTGCTTGATAGGAGGGCCACTTATCTGTTTAAAAACAGGAACAATCCCATCCTATCAGTATTTATCAAGCTCCCACTGAGTGCCAGGCATTGCCTAGGTATTGTGGCAGGTGCTCCCTGCAGCTGGCAGGGCGCCCAACAGGAGACACATGGCACCTTGAGATAAATGATAAAATACCATTAACGGTTAAACAGGAAGTCTGTGGTAAGTGACACACTGGAACCACAGCAGGAATCTCGCTCTATTACCACAGTGCTGGTTCCCTCACCCGCTCTTTGGTACTGCTCATATAATTCAGGAACTGATTCTGATGGAGTGAAGTAAATTCCAAAACAATGCTGGCAATTTTAGTAAATGTCACCACTGGATCTCTAACACCTAACCCAGCTCTACACGCCACCTCATTTCATTTTTAGAACAGCTTCTGCAGCAGCTCAGCATTCCACACCATAAAGACAACCGTGACAACCGAGGCCGAGTGACAGACATAACGTCATCCTGCGTTGCCCCAAGTTGTCAGGGATCTCAGTAATCTGAAAACTCACTACTCGATTCTCTCAGCCAACTTCTTCTCCGGGCTCTCTCAGCGTTGGAATGTGGCAGGTGGTCTGCAGAACGCTCCATGGTGAGGCCTGAGCCAGCCAGCATGAGCACTTTTAAGGGATGTTAGGGTAATAACCTTCTCCAAAGGGGGGCATGTAGAGACCACTGGAAGGCCATCCCTGGGTTTTCGGGATGCAGGGTCTGCATTGGCTGGGGCAGAGGAAACAGGTAGAGGGCAGGCAGTAGGAGCTTTGTGGCATGGACACACAGAGATTTCTTTTCCCTTACAGGTGTCAAAGAGGATTTCTCTTACCCAAGGACCCAGTGTCTCCCATAGAGAGCAGGAGTAGGATCAGAAGGGGCAGCAGAATCCATGGCTGTCCCCCACTTGTCACTGGTGTTACCTTTATGAAACATTCATAACAAACAACCCATCCCATTTGTGTGGACAAATATAATTTGTATTTGTGACTTCCTTAGTTTCTAACATGGGCTCCAAACCTACCCCAGGCAGCTTTGGGCTCCCCAGCACGTCCTCTCTGTTTCCCAGAGTCCAGTGCAGGTCAGTGCATTAAGGACCCTGAACACACTTCCCAGCTCAGCCATGGCTTGGACCAGCTGCTGCAGACAATCTCAGAAAGCAGCAGTTGTGCTGGCCTGGTGAGGGCCTGGGGTTGAATATCCATGGGAGCTTCCTGTCTCCTCCTCTTGTTTCTCCTCCAGACCATTATTCTCTAGTTTATTCCTCGAATAACAGCGACATATGTTGATGTAAGATTAGAAGTTGCCAGAGGCTGGGAAGGAAATGTGTTGTGTGTCACAAGTGTTATCATTCCTAGGGAATTCTGCTAAACACCAGTATTTCACTTGCTGTTTTCCAAGGAATGTCTTTTTAAAAGCAAAATTAAAATTGAGAATTTGAAATTTGCATGAGAGAATTGGGGAAGCCTTTTTTCCTGTCACTTTTAATGTCCAGTTCTCTGAGCAGGACATTTTGACGCCTGCCATCCACAGCCTATGGAGACATTCCTGAGCCTTGCCTTTCTGTCCCGGTGATAGCGATCTACTGATCGTACACACATAGATTGCTTTGCTCTCATAGAATAAGGCTCAGGCAACACCCTCCAAAGGCAATGAAAAGGGAGGGCCCTTGGCTGTGTTTTCAAATTCTGGTCCTAGAGACAGAATGGTTCTCTTGCGCTTTGTTCTAGTTCTCTGATTAGTGACAAGATATTCCAGGGTCACCTCAAAGGGGTTTTGTCATGTTGTTTTTAGTAATGCCTGTTCACACCAGGAGAAACAGAAATCTTTATTTCACTGTTTCAGTAAAGCCCACGTGAATTATATGAACAGACCTTTTTATAGACCAAAGAATCACTGAATACAAACCTTATCACACTCACACAGCGAAAAGACAAAACAATTCTACCTTATAAGCACAACAAAAGGTAAATTCTGCAACTACTCAAAGTTGTGTGGTCTGTAAGTGATTACCCAGAAAATCAACATACTCTTACTCCTACACTGGAATCAAATTGGATTGTATCCAGTTCTATTTTGGCAAAGTCATGTGCAGAGTGAGAGCTGGTTAAATGTTCATTAAAACAGTTAAAGAGCCAGGGCTGTCTTCCTCACGCTTAAGGAATGGCTGGCTTCAGGGAACTCTACGAAGCAAGTTGTCAGAGCCTATGCATATCTATCTGGTAGTTAACACCGAGGATGTAGAGAAATCAGTTACATACTGGAATAAGCCACACATCATAATTGCAAAGGCCTGACTGACTTCCCATTGTTCATGGATGTGGCATTAAATGAAGAGCCAACATTTATCATTTCCTGAAAGGAATTAGCTTTTGTTGCTGCAATTTAGAAGCAAAAAAACAAAGTAAGCAAGAAGTTCTAGTGTACAAATGTGTCTTAGGCAACTGCCAGATGGGGTTCACATCTTATTTAACCTATAACATAATTATAAAACGCAGGTTATATTATCCTCACTTTATGGATGAGGAAACTGAGGCTTTGTGAAGCAAAGTAGCTGTTAGCTGACTGCGGCCAAGCCGCAGTCCTCGCCCCACTGACTCCTGAGTGACAGTCATGTGGTCAATCCAGAGAAGCATTTCTCCTTTTCCCTTTTTCTTATTTTTTCCTTTGTTTTGAAAAATAGGTATTAGGATACACTTTCAACAACCCACCGGCTGATGTTCAATACTCTGACAACACGGGGCTAGACGCACAATGGCTGTAAGGGCGCAGCTCTGCGGGGACGGGATTCTCGCTATGCACCATGTGTCCATAGCCCTGACCGACACAGGTTCTAACTAATGGCTGTGCCAAGCAGGAACCTGCAATTTTTGGCCCATCAGGCTCAGCTCGTGTCCTCTGTGTTTGGGAATGAGATTCAGTCTGACAAAGCTGAGAGTTTAACCTACCTTTCCATACGATCCTTGTCCTAAAACCTTTAACAGTTCAAACTGGGAAGGGTCTGCCTTTTCAAATCCCTCCTTTACATGATGACTGATGTCGATCTCCTTCACAATACCTTCTTCCTGTAAGAGAACAGGGACACATGGTAAATACGTCCTTCCATCCACCATGACTCCCCTCCCTTGAGGTCTGCCGGGGCTGGCTGTGCTGTGGACTTGCGGTGCTGCAGCTTGAAGTCAGCCCCACGCAGCTTTGCACCATCATCTCCAGCCACATGAGCCATCAGGTGTCTGTTTCCTCTAGGGACTTTGGCTTTCTGGCTTACCAGTGCCGCAGGAAAACCTAAATGTCCTCTGAAGGAAATCTACTCTGCACCATAACAGTTCAGGCAGAAGTTTCGGTAGGGATGAATACAACAGCTATGGAGCAACGTGATCCAGAGAATGTCTGTGCTTCAGCATCGGGGGCGTGGATCAGCTCTCACAGTGGAGTCGTTTACAAAATGCAGATGGCTTATTCCCTTTCTCCTTCTCACTCACACTCTCCCTGATATTTTTGACACAGATAATGTGAAAAATGCTTTCTTGCCATCCTACAGATTATATTTCAGAAACAGCAGAGAAGATTTTCTGCCAGGTTAGAAACAACATTTCTCCATAGGAAAAAGCACCTTTCATATTCAAGCTAAAACTTTCACAGAAATTGCTATGAATTTTCATCACAGAAGCTCCTGACTTAAAGATTCACGACTTCATTTGTACAGAGTGGGCAGGCTCTCTGCCTCCATAGCACCCCTTGGGAGTGGGGAAAAGGGAAGCAGGTGTTGTTCCCCACACCAGAGCCCAGCCCTTCCCTGAGTTCATCCCTAGGCTTCTTGGAGATGCTCTTCCAAGCACCTGTCTCTGGCCTCTCCGGGCTTCCCACAGTGTGGCCCAGGTGACGTGCAGGGAGTGAGGTCAGCCACCAGGAGGCGCACATCAGAGCTCTTTATAGTCATCCTGTTCCTTACAAAACTGTTGAGGTGGAGATTTCCTCCCAGACTCCATGACACAGCCCACGGAGTCAGAGCCTGTCCTCCAAGCCAGGACTGACTTTAGAGTCATACATCTCCTCCAAGATTTCAGTGCAAGAGAAAGATTTCAGATGAGATCCCAATAGCGACCATGGGCATGACGACGTTTGGCAAATGCAGACAGTGACTTATGTCCAAGTAACTTCCTGCCTGCAAAGCAGAGGGGAAGGAGAGGCTGTGCAGTTTCCTCTGGAGTCTCCATTCTGATATTTAAAGGAAATATTTCCATTTTGACATCCTTACGGATTATTTGTAAAAATATTTTTATAAACACTTTCAAAAAAATTTGTAAAGGCAAACAATGAGTATTGTCTCTTTGTCATTTGAATAAAGAGGTTAAAAATGTTGCAAGCATAGTCAGCCAATGGGTGCTGTGATGGGACTGCAGCTTTGGCATGTCACCTCTGAGGCTACCTGGTGCTATAAGCAGTCTCTCTGGATCTGGAGGACCACATGGCACCAGAGTGTTTGTGCTGAAATCTCTCAGTCTACACCAGGGGAGAGAAAAATCGCCAGGGACCTTGGAGCTCTGTGTGTCATGGCGTCAACAAGGAAGATGCAAGAGACTGAATTCTCACCAGGTAAACAAAGCCAACAGCCGGGCTCAAAAAATCCCCCAAGTCCCCCTAGAACATATGCTCTCTTTCCCTGCCACTGACCTACTAATGGCAGGAAGGGATGAAAGATTATCTATCATTTAGAGGAGAAAAAGAAACTTTTCTGTCACAAAACAATGCGTCGAGATTCTCTGTCATCTGCCTACAGGACCGAGGTGGGCAGGCAGGGATGTGAGTCAGCCAGAATCCTGGCCTTCTTCCTGAAATAACTCCGGCCACACAGGTGCGTTAATGCACAACTGCATCACCAGGAAGGTAACAATTCACCGAGCACACTCCAGTGATCTAAACACACGGGTGACCACACTGCTGAGCAGAATGTCAGGCTCAACAACACCCAGAGTCTGGGTGGCAGTGTGGGTGAACGTGGCCAAGGATGTGGGTGACAAGTTCAGATTTCCTTTTTCCCGAAGTGGGTTTCACAGCACTTATGTTCTGAGGGATCTGCAGATCATGCCTTCTCAGCAACTCTTCTGGAAGGGCGGAAGCTCATAGGTGTGGTAAATGGAGTCACAGTCCACTGGCTGTCTCTGAGGGACACACTGTCCGACAGACTTTCCCAGCAGACCATGTGGCACCCAGGCCAGTGCCTGTCCACAGAGCAGGAGCCTGATCCCCACTCAGCCCCTCAAGATTCCCACTCGCCTCCCCTGTTCCTGGCTCAAGTGGCTTTGCACCAACAGAAATTTCTAAGAACACCAGCCCAGCATCCCAGATTGCCGCCAGCTCCTTGCACCTCTGGTGCTCAGACCTCCATTTTAGCCATTCACCTTCTTGAGTTATGGCCTCAACATTTCAAATCAAAGGTTTAAACACAAGTGTTCATTGTGTTTCACCTACATGCATATTCACACTGTCAAAGCAGAAACAAATAGACTCAAAACATGTATACAATTTTACCTCCTAGAATGGCATTTAAACCTCCAGATTTCTCCCTTGATAATACTGAGGTACACTAACTTCTCATTTGAAATCAGTAATGTAGCTAGGTGTAGTGGTGCATTCCTACAATACTAGCACTCTGGGATGCTGAGGCAGGAGAATTGCAAGTTCAAGCCCAAGCCAAGTAGTGACTTAGTGAGATCCTGTCTCAAAAGAAAAAAGAATAAAAAGAGCTGGGGATGTAGCTCAGAATGAAGGGCCTGGGCTTAATCCCCAGTACCACAAAGAAAACATGATCAGTAAGGTCTTTAACAACAAAGGATCTCAACAATCAACAGAAAAAGGGAACCAAGAAGGCTATACTTTAGGTTTTAGAGTTTTGCATTCAAAGCGATGTTTTGGCTTGAACTTGCCAAGGATGCCTAATTTTGTTACTTTCCCAAGAAAGGAAAATGAAACAATTGGTCTGGCGCTCAGGGCAGCCCATGTGGACTGCAGGCCCTGTGAACCGGTAGCAGCCTGGAAAACAGGGGGCGCCTCTGGGCGGGCTGCGCCTACCTGCCTCTGGCCTCCTGTGTGCTGCATCATTTCCTGATTATTGTCACAGAAGGTAACTAGAATAAAAATATTATTCCTGTCTTGTTTTGAAATAATATTTTTATTTTCTCTTTTGTGAGGCAGGTCATGGTATCTAGAACTCCATGTGGGTTTTAATGCCGTTCCCTTAGGAAAATAAAACCTATTTCTAAATCAGCTACATGCACGGCAGTCAACATTTGGATTTTAACACAGTGCCTGGGAAGGGTATTTTTAAAAGTAACTTGAGAGATGTAGGAGAGAAGCTGGTTTCATGATCAGGTGTTACCTCCACTGCAAAGATTCTAAAAATTTTCCAACGTGAGAGATAGAAACTAGGAATCCAGTTTATACAATGTCAATATATGATAAAATGACATGATGATGAATTTTTCAAATCTCATCTGAGCTGTGTTTGAAATTCTGACCAACTGCAGGGCCCTTCAGCAGGCCAGAAATGTGGCCAGAGCTGGCTGCCTTCCTGCAGCAGCTCAGTCTCCGCTTTCTCTGGCCACACCCCTCTCCCTTTTGGGGGATTTCCTGTTGTGGTCATCTGTGGTTTAGGTCATTAAAAAGTATAATATTACAAAAAGTAAATATGAATTAAAAATTGTGATATATTAATGAAAAATACTATTACATAAAATACATAATAAATAAATTTAGACAAGTGTTGGTTTTATTTTAGAAAAAGGCAGAGGTCATTTCAGAAATGACCAAACCACATGTAAGATGTTAATTCCTAGAAAAATGATGGAATCTAGTATGAGGTGTGATTGAAACACATGGTGAATGCTTAAATTAAAACATTTATTACGGTAAAAGACCCATTGCCATTAATCTCCCTCAAAATACTCCCCCTTGCTTCAAACACACTTATCCCATCATTCTCGCTACTTTCTGAAGCAGTTCTGGAAGTCCTCTTTTGTGAGTGTCTTTTCATAGCTGCCTCAGTATCCTGAAGTGATTCAAAATGTCTACAGCAATTTCTGTCAAATAAAAACATTATGTTCTATCCTCATCCTCCTTATTCACCAGACCTAGTGCTATACGACTTCTGGCTTTTCCCGAAAGTGAAAATGACCATGAAAGTAAACATTTTGAAATGATTGAGGACGTGGAGGCAACCACAACAGCACAGTCAACTAAAAACACTGACAAGAAGAAGCAGGTGACTATGAGCCTGGCTTTGGGAAGAGCTCAGACCTGCTTCCCATAGTTTAGCTCATCACGAGGCCGACATGCCATAAAGACTCAAGGATGGGACACACAAGCCATCTTCCATGGCACAAAATGTGACCTGCTCTCCCAGGAACACCTTGTTCATGAGATTCTTAAGCTATGGTGCTCACTGACACACAATCAGCCCAGGGAACTGGCTAGAAATGTAGATCCCATGGTCAGACACAAGGCCAGCACTCTACCACTGAGCCACATCCCCAGCCCTCGGACAAGGCCCTTGTGTGGATTCTCTGACGGGGTTCCTTAGCTCTGATCACAGCCACATTTATAGTGGCTGGCTTCCACCACCCACGAGGGCTGTTGCTGAGACATCTACACCCCTGCATTGCCATATCCAGTGTGGGATTCAGTGGTCAGATTCAGCCCCTCATGGCTCTGAACAGGACAGACCACCCACCCTCCTGGGATGTTCTCTCCTCTCGGATTCCAGGCCTCCCTTCTGCTTCTGGGTGGTTTGGTGTTTTTACCCTCGCTGTGACAGTATGGCTACCACATCTCCATCTTCAGCTAGGGCCTTGCCCAGGACTGTATTTGCAGGGGTTGGGCATGGGCAAGTGTCCCGAGACACTTGTGTGTGTGAGAGGTATGTGAGGCATGTCTGTGTACGTGGGACACATGCATGTGCCCTTGAGCTTTCCAGTTTGTGCAGGGTAGCCAGAGGGCAATAGGGATGGGATGGAGGTAGCCTGAGGTAGGCCACAGGGCCCCTGGCCCAACCTCAAGCAGATATGCA